TATATATATATATATATGTATGTATGTATGTATGTATGTATGTATGTAGTATATATATATATATATATATATATATATATATATAAATTATATCGTGTGGCAATCAAACAAATAGGAGATACATTACAGTGTACAATCAACTAGGCATAGTGCTCGAGCATCCTGCGACATCACTTGTATAGTCATTTACAGACTGTATCATTGCTGCATCCCATCGTATACCATCTAGCTTCCGTTTCCAACTCGACATACTTGATCGTATCGACGTTTGAATTTACGTACTCCGTATATAGATTCTTGACTGGGAACAAAGCGAAGCGACATACTCAAGAGTTCGGAGTCTGAATTTGATACTTAGATCCCTAACAAGGCATAAACAATAGTCGAGCAATCTACGACCTCTCGTACGACTAACCGCGAGAACACTATCCTGTTAGCATCCATCAACCAACCCCGTCCCTCTTCCCACGCGACACGGCTAAAAGTTCTACCGTTTATGTTTACGTACCTTAGATTCCGGACTGGGCACAGGGTTCGAGTTTGCGAGCGGCGCTGGTAGACCAGTACTTAACCAATTCCAACCCAGCCGCCATATTCGACCACGTGGCGACTCCCAAATTGGATCAGATCTTCTCATCACCAGGGACTGTGAAGAAAGCAAAGTAAGTGCCAAAGCTGTTAGTGTTTCAATGTATGGTACAAACCTCTTTCCCATAGTCTGGTGTGAAGATTTCTATATTTTGACATCGAAGTCCATGCCACTCCCAGTTTCCGGTTGACGTCGGGGGGCCTGAGGTCAACCTTTTGTCAGGCTCTGGCGCATATTGACCCAAGTTCATGATACTTTATGGTGAACGCTTTTGTGTATTCATTTGGTTAGAATGTCTATTGTATGTTCTGGCTTGGAAGGCAAATGCGTCTGTTATCGTCGAGTGTGATTTCAAACCACGCTTCCGTACTCTCTCCTACTTGTCACCAAAAACTCTGTTTGCGAATAGAGTGCTTCAGATACAATGCACTACAGTAGCGCTCGTGACAGGTTTGACATTCAGCTGCTGATATCTCTTCTGCCCATATCCGCACAGATGGAACAATCGAACTAGTTCGGCGATGTGGAAGTACGATTCGCCTTCGGGAGGCTTGACCAAAAAGTAGGCGAGTAGGTGAACGACCATGCACGGCAGTATACCGCGTTCTCAGCACATGCACCGATTGCTATCTCGTCGGGTAGATGCGCATGCAGGCCAAGTATATACGTGTAGCCCTGGAGGGATTACGCCAATACTAAGCAGCGAGCTATTCAATTGCACACCCCAGTAATAACGCGTCTGTATGGCCCGGGAACGTCGAAAACAAAAGGAGAGTGACTGAGTCACTTGATCCTCAGTTCGTTGCTGGCTTGCCATGGACACTCTCTGTGGCAATCTCTCACTCAAACATACAGTCTACAATTGTAAAATACATACAGTCTACATTTGTAAAATCATGTACGTGAGCAAAGTCTGCTCAGGCTGAGCAGCTAGGTCGGCAGTATGATTCACGTGCACTGCTACGGATTCAAGTACTTCTCAACTGGATCGTTGCACTCAGATGCCGGATTACCATGGTAACGCACTACGACAGCAGTATGCGACCTTGTAACAGCAAAATGCTGTCCCCTAGAATTCTCACACTTCGTTTTGGATTCTCGACTCAGACGGACCGAAACTTGTCGGTATTTGGATGCTTTAGAGTTTATAGCAGGGGGAGGCTCTAAGGTTATGGTAAGGGTAGGCTTTATCCAAGTCGATATTGCTTTATCCAAGTCGACATTCAGACAGCCAATCGGATTCGAGGTCGAACATTAGCGACTTTCCTGCACGCATTGATGATTGATCTATTGGCGAATGGCAGGCACGCTTAGAGAGACAGCGAGGTGGCACGTACGATCTCAGCGGACATTATTACGCAGACAATCCGATAAATGAACTGGACCACACCTACAGACGCTTAGTCGTACTTAACGCGGCAAGCAAGCCTTCAGAGATGTACACAGACAGTCGCAAGCGGATATTGAGCCTTCATTGTCTGACTGATCAGGTGAGCACCAGCGGGTGACCATCCATGCGCGCTTTCAGAACCACCGTACAGAGCTTAGCCGCGATTGCGATGCTCAATGCGACAGAGCTATCTGTTGAAAGCGGCTATAAAGCAATGCTCGCCAGTGTGTGCCTTCGGTAGCTGACGATAGGCGGATGTCGCATGAATCTCAATTTTGGTGGACAGTCGACTAAAAATATCGAAGGTGGACCAAAGGAACACGGTGGCCATCCCCTGTGTGAGGGGGTGTGGGTGCCATACATTCCACAGTCATACAAACGCAAGCACTTCAAGCGGAGGCTGGCTCTTCCCTCCACTAACCGTGAGTCCGGTATCGGTTGAAAGGTGGTCCTCATATGGCGTTCGAAAGTACTAGGCAGTAGGTGTGGTCTAGATATTCCTGCAGAATCTGCCACTGACTAATCGCTCGACGTGCAGTATGGACTTCAAGACACGGCACACCGCCACTGTTCAATGCCGAACATTGAGCACAGCTGTGCATAGGACGAGGTATATACAAACAAGCCGCGAGTCTGCAGCTGGTTCCCGTAAGCGATATCTTAGTGAATGTGTAGTATAAGCATACCAAAACTGCGCAATATAACTATGTAGAACCGCCTCGTATAACTGCTACATCTCGGTGTAGGTGGCGGAGGCGCAGCGATCGCGAAGGCATCCCCGATCTCGAAGTGACAAGGTAATGACACTCCCCTGAACTAAACTAGGTACTCATGACAATGACTAAAGTTATAAATAAGAGTTAAACCTGGATAGCGGTGTTTAATCAGACCGAAGCAGTTTGCTATGTGCTGAACAATATACTTCACATTTTTGTATATGATTATTATGGAAACTCGGCCATAAGTTGTGTGCACTATTGCTCTGCCAGCTACCCCGTGTGCCTGCCTTCTGCAGTGCGTGACTAACTATACCATAATCGCCGACCAAACATTTGGGTCTATTCAGTGTGTGGAAATTGTCAGCTAGGCTTGTGGAAGAAAGCGATTGAGTGTCCTCAGTTAGCTCCTAAACTTACGCGAATATGTACCGGTACGTGATCTATGCAGCGTTATACATACAATAGCGTTTCTAAAACGCGTCGAAAACCAGCGTTTCTAGGATCTCCAATTGCCAGCATTATAGCATTCGATTTTTAATCTGAACCATAGTATCTGAGCTTCGTGACTGGAATCGATGGAGTCCTATTTGTTCATATAATGTACCTATTGTGTGGCCCTCATGCCCTCACGAGATGGTATATATCCAAGACGAATGCCAGAGTAGCTTGTTGCGCAAAAGTTAATTCACGCCCGCAAATGCTTGACGTCTGCCCTGGAGGATTGCAGTTATTTATATTTCGGTGTATTACTATATAAATTAGCAAAAATTATATATACGTAATACATGAAGTGGCTAGCAGTGTTAGGTTCGATAGTTTAGAAGCTACTGTGAGTACCTTTCGTCTACTACATTACCCTTTACCGCCCTTTACCGCGTCAAACTCGACGACGCCAATACGCTCAGATGGCGAGGCCTTGTAGCGAGATTAAAATAGTGCACAACCAATATTCAACAGGTACCGAAATGACGTAGAGTAGGGGAGCCAATGTGTCTCATATGATAGTGGCACGGATAAAGAGTTTGGCTACAATCCTCCCTATAGCAATTCGAGTTCTTCCATATAGGTTAAAGAACGAATAGGGGTACAAGGGGTTATTTTTATAACTGGCCACCGGGCACCGGTTGCCGGTTGTATCAACAGTATATGGACAGTCTCGAAGAGTCCTATGTATTTATTAGTAGTAGAGTATTAAGACGCAAGTATAAACCTTAGACCCTAAACTCTCACTACTCAGTCGGACTGTCTGGGAATGCACTCGAGCGCGGAGATTCCATGGCATTTCCATTCACACGAGAGAGAGATGCTGGGGACTACAAATCAACAAAGTGAAATTTGCCGGTCTCTACTTTTTTTTCTACAAGTAAAAAAACAAACAAATTGCCCTTTTGTATAGTTTGGAGGGCTATGATTGAGGCTCATTATGGGCTTCCCTATATTTTTAGGCTGTGAAGGGCGTTTCTCCAGTCATAGCTCATATGAACGTATATATTTCAATAGTCTTCAAGCCTTTCAGTAGTGGTGAAGGGAGGGAGCTCTCGTGTGCATTTCATTACAACTTTAGCGGCCAGTTCGACTAGCGCCTACCTTGGCTACAACTCTCTCTCTCCACCTATTTATAATAAATCCGGTCTCCACTCAATCCTGATTTCAAACCCCGCGGGGACAATAACATCTGTCTCTGTACACCATTAAATATGAGTCAGAGCTGGAATGGGACTGCTGTACGGCTAGCGTTTGATGTGATGTTTAAGCGGCAGTGGTTGGCCATACCACATGTTACTGTGACAGACATCCGCTACATTAACTTCTGTGAACTCAAGAAGGTTCGTGTCAACGCCTGTTTATTTTATGAGTGTAAGTACCACTGCATTCCTATTGTTTGAGTTAGATAAGTGATAGCTCTGTGTCTCTCTATCTCGGCATAGACGTTCAAAATTAACGGCAGTGTTTAGAACTGCCGTTGTTCGTCGACAAGGTTAAACTTACAGATATTTCTATACTCGTGCGCAATAGGGTTGATCTGAACCTTTGCAGTGTGCTTGCGCCAATCAGTGCTTCTAGGTGCAATACGTACCAGCCTTGGTGATTGTACGGACTTCTAAATTTTGTATACTGGTGCTAGTCACCTACTCAATAGCGTGTCTTTCTTTACCTGCCCCGTAAATTGGGCTACACTCTCTGGCTTTGTTATAGGTGTAATTTTAGCCCTCGATTTGATGTGTTTTGCAATTTCCTTGTGTGTGGAATGTTAAAATGATGTACGCCGACAACACATCAGGACAGATAGCTGTCTATTCAGAATATATGTCCTCAAGAGCAATAGAATGAACCACTGTGCCATGTGCCATTCGCGCTAGACAGCCCTATCTTGCTAGACATATGACTGCGTTTGTACGTGCTCTCCTCATGGCCTTTATCGAGCTGTAAACTCGTTGTTCGTGTCATCGCTATTCTTCGTTAAAATAAAAACTACCTGGCCAAGGAGTGGCGGTGGTGTCAACTTTGAGATGGGCATCAAAATAGTCGTCTGTAACGCTACATGGTACAAGAATAATTGCCGCAGCATCAATATATGTCTGCTGGGAGTACAACGCCTATGCGCACTATTTGATAATACTCTTATATACCGTATAGCAAGGATCTTCCACCGACTGCTATGAAGTCGAATACACGGATGCATTTGGTAAGTATATGCACAGATACTCAAGTATCGTACACATACATAAGCGTTGCTGAACTGATGTAAGATCACCACACCTTCATGTTATATAGGCTGGCTGTCGCGCCGTAGTGTATGACAAAGACAACTGTATAACCAATCCTTACGAGGATCACATAAGTCTTCGGGTCAAGCCCGGATGGGACGAATGTCTGCGAGTCTTCGGTAGAGAAAATGTCCTCATCATGTCCAACTCAGCTGGATCAAGCGACGATAAAGGTATGGTCTCAACCGAATGTGATAGACTAATGCTATCAGATGTATTTTTGAACTTGTACTCGCGCAAAACTATAAAGGTGGACGAGCATGTTGAAATGACGACTGAAAAACCACTGACGCATACCAAACAATATGCTATTATTGATTTTTTTAAAAGTATGCAAGAATAGCCATTGAAGACTGTCGTTGATATCAATGTAGATTATATATATATATATATATATATATATATATATATATATATATATATATATATATATATATATATATATATATATTATATATATATATATATATA